ATAGCCAAAAATAAGGTGCATGATTCACGAGAAATACGACTTCCATGACCTACAACAAACAAAAAGAGACATATTCAGTTTTCTAAATATTTTAATGGTCAAAATGAAAGTTGATTCATTATAATGTACATGGAGCACTACAAAAGTTTTTTCGCCCGGTTCTTCTAAAAGCCTCTGTTTGATTTCAACTATTTTGTTATAATGCTTAGACATATTTAGGATTATGTGCAACGTTTCAGACCTTGAAGTCTTATGCTTGCTGTAATGCACCATTTCGTTTACGCTGGGTGCACACGACGTGCTAACGGATGACCCATAAGAAATGGTAAAAGTTTGCATTTCATATTTTGATCCCTAATTACGTTTTATTTAAAAAACGAAATATACCAGAAGATGCGGTGTGAGAAGCTCTACAATTTCTATAGGACAGCTAATTTGATAGCTACATTTGTTGGGCTCAAAATCAACAAAGTTCTAAGCGATCAAACTTGGACGCTATGATAATAATGTGATTTTGATAAAAGACAAATTCGTTTTTTCTTATTTCATCTTTGTTTTACGTGATGTTTTCTATTAAAAGAAAAACAATACGCACCACAAGGTGCAGCGTGAAAAGCTCTACAATTTGCACAAGACAGCTACTTTTACAGTTGCACCTTTTCTTTTGAAAATCGACAAAATTTTGAACAATCAAATGTCGATGCTGCAAAAAAGTCTTTTTTTTGTATGCGACGAACGCGTTTTTTTTCTCATTTACCACCTGGTAAGTTTTATTTAAAAAAAACAAAATACACCACAAGATGCAGCGTAAAAAACTCTACAATCTGTATAGGCGATAAAAAAATAAAATAAGAAAAAAGAAATTTTTCCTTCGTGTTATCTTTTCTCACTGTCGAAATTTGATCGCTCAAAATTTTGTCCATTTTGAAAGCAAAACATGCAACTATAAAAAAAACGGTCTTATGTAACTTGTAGAGCTTTTCACGCTGCACCTTGTGGTGTATTTTGTTTTTTAAATACAACTTATTAAGGGATTGAAAACTGATATACAAAACAAGACCATTCAACCTGCTACATCTGTTTTGGACATCGCATGTACATAGTATAAAAGAAATGATAGACTACAACAAAGCACAAGCCTTAGAAGCCTGAAATTTTGCACATAATCCTAAATATGTCTGGACATTATAGCTATATAATTAATTCTTAATCAAGTCTTTGAATAGAGCCTGGCGAAAAAACTTTTGTAGTGCCCTCCGTACTATTCTAATTAATCAATGGATACGATAAAAAAATTCTGATTTTTTCTATTTGAATGGATAACTGAAATAAAAGTGACTTTTTCTATTTACATAATAATAAAATGTTTACTTGTTGTATCATTGTTAAATACCATTGGATTGATTGCAATTAAAGCTTTATCTTCAAACTTTGTTGTTGTTGCATATTCTTTGGTTCTAATTGGATCAAGAACCTCTGATGCTGCTGCTGCATCCGGATGAACAATAGCGATAATAATTTTTGTTGCAATCAATTCTTGTAATATAGATGTTGTGATAGTTGATGAAGTAAAAAGTAGTCGAAAAATTTGTGAAGGTGATGAATATACTGTAATTTTTTCATAAGCACCGCCAATAATATTTGCCCATACTCGGGTACAACGAGGATCAGCTGAAATAACATTTATTAAAAATTGTTTTGCATCATTAAAACGTTCATATATAGCTTTTTTCTCTTTTTCCGAAAATAAAAAATGAACGTCCACACGATAAAAATCTAATTGAAATGTTTCAATTGAATTAGTGGAAGTTGCGGATGAAGCTTGTTTATTTGTGGTAATATTTTCAGCTGATTCACCTAATTAACACAAAAAAATAGAATAAATTAATAATTAAAAAATATTAGAAAATTTCAATTCATTTTGTTTTATTCTTTCTAATAAGAACAAAAGAGATTTCCAACGAAAAAAATAAATCACGCCTTTACAGTTTTTATGGTAAATTAGTGACTTTTCTACTGTTCCCAGTCATTAGTTAGAAAAAGTATTCTTAATTTTTTGTTCTTAAAAATTAGTTAAACGTTATAATAATTGTAAAGACAGCTTTAAATTGGTGGATGAATAAATATTTTTTTTTGTTGAAATAATTAATCAGTCGTATGATTCTTTGATATTTAACAAAAATTATCTATTTGTTTTAAGAACTTAATATTGAACAGCACAATAATCAACTATTCGTTTCTCTTTTGAAAAACTATACGAACGAAAATTTCTGATGCATTCTTTACGAATTTCAGCGATTCCTATTCTAGGAAGAAAATTTCAATATTCGGCCTAATGAATAAATGATTAGACTCAAATTCTATAACAATGTGTATTACCAATGTTAATTAAAGATGTTTTATTTCATAGTCGAGATTAATATCATCTCTAATCCATGTGGAATCAAGCAAGTCCTCTCTCAGAATAGAAGATCCTGTTATGCTTTTACCTTTAAGCGCGCAACAGTTTCAGAGTGAATTTCTATGGCGTTTTACTTTTCTTACTTATTATTAACTGCAAGACTTTCCTGAGAGCGCCTAAGATTCGACGGATTTTGAAGCGTTTTTCAGAGTTAAAAAAACACAGAACTTATTTTAACTTCAGACCTTTATGATTTTCAGCAAAAAACTCGCAAACTAGGAATATTTTCGACTACATATGTTAACTAAAGTGTAAATGTTTTAATTGATTAAAGCAGGATTTTCTAGTACGTTCGCCGCATTGCTCCTTCGGGAGAAAACTTTTATTATGAGATGGTCTTCTACTATTGAAGGTAGTTATGATCTCTTTTCTCAGGTTTATTTATACTGTTATTATTGCACAAATAATAGTTTCCATAACAGAAATCAAAAATATAACACAGTTACTCTGATCAGAAGTATCTTGGTCGTTCGTAATTTCAAAAGAAACATCTTAAGCGCAACAATCAGGAAGAAAACGAGACTAGGACGGCTTAGCTGGTAAAGCTTTTGATTAGAAGATCTTAGTAAATATACTTGTTTTCCATCATGGTATTTGTAACTGAATCTTTTGGAAGATTCTCAGTCTTTTTTCTAATATTTCGAATATGAAATGGTTATTTGTGACTACTGCTGGTATGAGACATTGATGGAGGATGAATATTTATAAATTCAAATTTATGTATCAAACGACTTTCTTTTTAAGGGATTTTACAGAATAAATTATTGAACTTTTCAAAACTATTGGATATTGAAACAAATTATTTGGATCGACAACTTTAAACTTGGCAAGTTATAAATCCTACATATATTACAGATAAATAAAATTCATTCACATTGTTTCGATTGATGTTTTAATTGTTACCTGTATTATTCATCACAAAATTAAAAGATTCTTTATCAAATTATTCATGTCATTCAATGGCAACTCAATACTTAGGCTTTCTCTAGAAAAAAGATTTGTCTTGTAGAACTTTTAAATAACGACCAAGAATTAATAAGATATCAATTTAATGATGTAATTGCAACTTGAATTTTTCCTTATAAATAAATCTCATAATTTTAAAAATGTTTTGAGATACTTTACGTAAGGGTCTTCCTCTCTCACGGAATGTATATGTAACATATAATTCAGATTCCACTAGAAGGCTAAGAATACCTATTTTGGAACATTTCTTATCTCAAAAAAAGGCACTTCTTTCGACTAGGAACAAGATCATTCTACAACCTAAAAAATCTCAAATAAAAATTGCGCCGTTCATTTTTTATTTTGTTTCTTTACATAGATAGATCGAACATTTATTTTACTGTATGCAAACAAAATAAAAGTTTACTTACCTAATTCTTTTTCAATTGTTTCCTTCCATCGCTTGGTCTCATCGTCATCAGCTGAAAAATAGACAAGAGTGTTACAGAGTTTCAAAAGAGAAGCTAAGAAAGATTACTTACGATCAATATTTAAACCACTATTGAATACTTCTAAAGCTTCCTTTAAATTGCCTAAATGATACGCGGACAAACTGCAAAGCGGATGTATAGAATAGTTATTTTTTAAGTTGCAGTGTTACCCCTTGCTTAAATATGACTTGATGTTCGTAGGATCTAATTCCGACACTTTACAGTTGTCATTATATGCATCTAAATATAAGATAAATTTAAAACAAAATAAAGCAACAATATAGTTATTCATTTACCTTCTTTTTTCCCTATCATATATGAACATTGAGCACGTAACGAATAAAACCGACTAGTATATTGATTATCTGAACCGCCATCATGTTCAATAGACTTTGTACAAAACTACAAATAAAAGAAAAATAACATATACAAAGAGAAAAATACATTATTTTATGGACGAAGTACTAACATCAGATGCAGCCATGTATCTTTGATTATTGAATGCCTGCTCGGCCTGTTCGAAAAAGGTTTTACTTACAGAAGACATCTACAAAAGAGAAGTTTATTGAGCTAGTTTTTCTCATATATATTCACCTGAAAAACTTCACATCAATGGCTCTTATCTTTCTTTCAAACAATAGCGATTATGAGGCGCCACATATAACACGGAAATATAGATAATATAAATAGATTTTAATCAAAGGTTCAAATAAATTAAGTTTACGGCAAAATTCCGATAACGATTAATCCAATATTTTTTAGAATAAACATTTATAACTAAAGATACATGTCAAGTCTCATCTCTCATGATAATGCCAAATAGACATGTTTTACTGTATGTTTTCAACCAAATCGAAAAGGAACTATAAATGCATCAAATATATATGTTGATAAATCATAATCAATACTTTCATACCATTTGCCATGAACTTCATCTAGATATTTTTTATAGGAACATCTGATAAACAAAAAGAGAAAGAAGAAGATCGATCAATATTAATAAACATTATAAGTGTAACATGAATTTTGCGGTGATATATCGTATAAGCTAAATCAATATCATCAACGAATAAGACTTAATAACATGCATTCGACGTTAAATTCTTTTGAATAAAAACAAAAGATTAAATTGTCAATTGGGATCAATTGAACAAATTAAATATTTAGAAAAGCAGACTGAAATAATCTTTTCCATAAGATTCCTTGCTTTCAATTAATTGTAGTCAACTGTTTTGTATTGATCACAGATTATTCACTATTAAAAAAATTCCAAGCACATATGTTGTTTAAAAAGCAAGAGAAAAAAAGAAATTGATTTACTTAAGATTTTGTTCAATATCTACATTAATGAACAATTTTTACTTTATACAGGACAAAGCTAAAACACGTCTTATATTGTCTCACTTTATAACAATATTGAAAAGAAAGGAAAAAAAGTTTATTAGTTGATACATTCAATCAATCTAAAACATGTGCATATAGATGACGCTACGATAAAGTGTGAGAAAAGTTGAGTGTGATCATCTTCCACGGTCGTCACGAATAAAACATATTTCTTGTACTGATGTAACTATGCTAAATTACACCAAACTTCCTTAGTATTATACAATTACTGAATAAACTAAATCATGATTTTTCATTATAGAACCGATAGTATATTACTCTGAACGTCTCTTATATGTACACTTTTTCTCTCCTAGTGAAACATCTTGTAAGCAAGATCTTGGTTAAGATACAAGGTATAGAGAAGTGAACGGATCTTGAAGATTTATGCACAAGATAATGTGATGATTATCTTCTACCAAGATCTTGATTAATAATACGTACTAAAGATTATTTTGTCACTACTGGAAACTAGATCGTACAGAATTTCTCAAGAAAATCTAATCTTCATGCCAGAATGTCCTTGAGGACGGCAGTTTCATACGTTTTTTTGAACTGAACACCAGTCTTTAACTTGGTTCCTTGTATTTTCAGCAGAAATCTAGCTTTAGATTCACATTTAACGATATTTCATCAAATGTGAGGGCAAAATGAGATGGTTTCATGTTTTATACGACAGTTCAATGATATCTTTGAGAATAATAAGTTATAATTGAGTATGAAAAACTAATCGATCTTTATCGCGATGATAATTTTTAATTTCATTGAGCGAAAAGTCGGTTCAGATCACTCGAGTTTCTGAATAGCGTTTTAAATTTTATAGTAATAATCTCCTTATCAATAAAACGAAAAATACGAACACAATCATATAAAAATTGTCTTCGAAAAAATTTTTGTACGTTGGGTGGGTGTGGGTGTAGATGTGTGAGTGTAGGTGTAAGAAGAGACACTGCCAACATCCATACTCCACACCCACATCTGCACCCACACCCCACACTCTTGACGATATTAAAATTAATAAAAAGGACTTTAATGGCATGCGTATATTTGATTCGATCGATCCAGCCTTGAAGAACTCTTATTTTTAGGTGCAAATAAATAACAAACCTAAATTTATACATAAGCAAACGGCATGCTGGTTATTGACCGATAAAGTTAGCCGTTTATCGACTGATAGACTTTCACGAATAATAGAAACAAACAAGAAGGATTAAAATTCTTCAAAACATTGATATTGAATTGATCAAGAATTTCTTATACAAATAAACAACTTCATTAAAAAGAATCAAAATATTAACTACGATTTTTTTTTAAGTTCAAACGAGCTCGAACTTTTCGAGCAGATTGAAAAACAATAAAAGTTCACATTTTCGCTAAAATAAGATCCACAAAAACAGACTGTTTCATTGGTTTTCTTATGAATTTTCCATTTACTGAATGTACGTCAAAAATTTCAGAGGACTTCACGAGACTTCGTAAGACTTCATGAGACTTCATAAGACTTGAGCAGACTTCAGAAAGACTTCAGGACTTCATCGGACTTCAAAAGCGAAGTCTTAGTTGTTCCCCCCTCGGATTGGATGCTCGAAAAAAAGATTTCATTTTAGAGGGGGCCTCCTTAATCTAATATTTTTCACAGTCAAAAATGTCCAGAAAATCACATTTTAACAGTGCCCTTTTCCTTATACTTCAAACCCGTTATAACAGTTTTCAGACAAACATTTTAACGTGTTTTCCATATAAACGCGTTGTAACTTGCAATTTCGGATATTTTTGAGTATATACCATGCGGTTAAATGAAGAGCATTTTAATGCTTTATAAATATCAGGCGTTTACTGCATTGATAGAGACAACGTATTCAAACTACTGAAGAATAGCTAGAATCCAAATAGTTTAGTATTACAAGGAATAGCAAAATGCAGTGTTTACTAATAAATGATAGACTACACGTAACACTGATTCATACAAGATCAGAGGTTAAGGATTATAGAATAGTAGTGTAGTTCGATTTCTTTTCGAAGAATATTTTCATTGCCATGTTAATGTGAATAGTTGATTAACAACTTCAGAGTGAAGCTTTTTAAAGTTTTATTTTAGTTTTCAGAGAGTGAGTGTGGGGTATGAATATGGGTGTGTGGCCTGTTTTGATGGAGAGTAGACGCCCACCCACACCTATAACAATAGACATTCGCGTAGATACAATCAAAAAAATTGCGTAAACTGTTTTTTGCATCGAAAAAAGTCGAATTTTCATTTTGGAGTTTAAACTGTAACCTTTTATACAGAGTTAATGAGCTTCATATTTTGAAATAAAAATTTAAAGATCCTCTCTTTCAAATAGAAAAAAAAA